TCTGCTGTAGCAAGTGCCATCTGCAGCTTTTGGCATTTGTCACGAAGACTCCCAGCCTCATCCTGTACCATCTGTAATTCTAGCTTTAATTTCCCTATGGTTTTTCGTAAAATTGCTTCTTGCCCTTGAAATTCTTTTCTGAGATCGGCTTCCTTTTCTTTGCTAGCCTGCAGGCTTTCTGCTGTAAAAAGCTGCGACCTTTTCAACGTATCAAGCTCACGTTCATAAAAGGCCTGGGCTTTACTCAACTTGCCTTCATAATCCTCAATGAGTGTCTTCTGTTCGCGCCTCAGCTCTTCAAGAGTTTTGCTTAAGGTTTCCACTTCCATCCTGTGCTGCCCGTCAGCCTTCGCCTGGCCCTCACCAACCGAGGCACTGTGATCTTGCTGTGACGTCAACAGCTCCTGAATCTCCCGTCTGTGAGCAGTTCGCAAATCTTCCAGTGCCGACAGCTTATCTCTTTCAAACTGTACTTGGAGCTGTCCAAAGCTCTGTAACTTTTCCTCAAATTTCCTTCTGATCTCTTCCACTTCTCTAGACATGGTGACTATGCGCTGGACATGCTGAGCTTCTGCACAGAGCCGCATGTCCTCCACTCGGTGCTTATACGCTTCAAATTCTGTCAGGGCCTGTTGCTTCATTTTTACGTGCTCTTCTAAAGAGGCTTCTAGAGCTTGGATCTTTCTATTAAGGTCTAACTCCTCTGTTACTTTGCTTTTATATTGTAGTATTTTTTCTCTGGTTTCTGCAAGAATTTGTTGGATTTCTTCTTCATGAGCATCTTTGAGGACTTGAATAGCAGATTCATGCTCATCATTTTTAGTGTTCAAAGAATATATTACCTGCATGATTTTAAAGAGGGTGGGAGAATTGAGTAAACCATATTGCTTTCCAACTTAAAGTTAATTCTTTCATTTGCTTGCTATTTTCCCATGCACATAGATAATGTTGTCTCTACCCAGGGTTACTGCGTTGAGTCTGATTCCTAGGGACCCTATAGGACAGCACAGAACCACTCTACAGGGTTTCCAAGGCTGCAAGCTTTCCGGAAGTCGGCACCGCGTCTTTCCCCCAAGGAGTGGCCGATAGGCTTGGACTTTCAGTGAGCACTCAGAGCTTAACCACAGGACTACTAGCACGCCTCCTTACTTACTTACCAACTGTCATCGAGTGGATTCTAGCCTTGGGGTTAGGAGCCCTGAGCTTAACTGACCCCCAGTAATACTGGCTAGAAACTCCATACCCACTGCCACCAAGTCAATTCTGACTCATGGCAGCCTCTACAGAGTTTGAGGTTGTAAACCTGTACGGGAACAGATGCTTTTCTCTCTCTCCTGTGGCATGACTGTTGCTTTGGACCCGTCAACAGCACCAGGGCACCTGCTGTAGGCTATTACTCATCAATAAAAAAGAATGAAGTACTGACGCAACTTGGATGAAGCTTGAAAACATAATTGTTCAGTCAACTAAGCCTGTCACAAAGACCACATATTCCATGATTCTATTATAGGAAATGCCCAGAATGGATAAATCACTAGAGACAGTAGATTCATGGCCGTCTAGGGCAGGGGGAAGGCGCCCTGACAGCACAATACTTAAATACTCCTCTGCTTTCCGAGCATTGCAAGTCCAACGCCTACCTGACTGTACCATCAGCCCTCCTACTATAGAAGCCTATAAACCAGAAAAACCATATTCAAGGCAAGTCCATTCTGATTCATGGCGACCCTATAGGGCAGTGTAGAACTGCCCCTGTGGGTTTCTGAGATTAGTAAGCCTTAAATATTAAAACTTCACTCAATTATTTTTGTACTTATAAACTGGTCAGCTTAGCAAAAATTTAGCTTAACACAATGTTAAGAAGGTTTGCGTTTGAGGAATTATTATTACTTTAAAACATCGAGAATTAGTAATGCTTTACTGAGACAACACGGAAGAAAAGGACAAAGGAGGTACAAAGAGGAACCAGTCGTTTACTCAGAGCTGTGCTGAGGAATAAGAGAAAAGCCTTAGAGCAAGTTTCCAATGTACACTGAAGTTTGCACAAGTGGCAACTCCAGGTCCTAAGCCTCCCCACAGGGTTGTTTTACCTATGAAATGCCCCGGATATTTAAAAAA